CCGCTCTTCTGTTTGTTGAAGGATGGTGGTGGAAGGCAATGCACCTGACAGAGTACCTTCCTTAACACGGTCAGAGATTCTGAATCCTGTATCAGTTACATATGACAATCAAAATGTATCAGCTTTTCGTGTAGGAGACATTCCAAACTCTTTTTTTCCCGAACCTTCCACAGAGCAACATGGACCTGGTTTCGGTAAGTTGATTGACGTAAAAAGTGACATGAACTTTATATTCTGAAAATCTGAGAGGCCAAAATCCATGGCATATTTACTTCATTCTAATCTTGTTATGAATACATTTTGAATTAGTACTGGTTTCGTTTTGGTACCATAGTTCACAACCTACATCAGGATGTAACAATCCACCACGGCTTCCACATCCATCTACTGGTCATCTCCAGATTGATTCCACAAGCTCTATTTCCAGCTCTCTCAAAGCAAACCCTGCATCAAGCAGTTTCTGCTCAGCACAGATGATCAATTGTGAGAGAGAGTGAGTCTTCCTTATCACATTAACTTTCTCCTCTATTTTTTCTTGGTCATATGGTTAGGTTAGTGATCTGTGCTGCGCATGACTTTACAAATTTGCAGCAAGAATTGCTCATTTAAGATACCAATGTTCTCGGATATTTCATTGAACTGGAGCTTAAAGATCATGCAAATTATGAATTCGTACAACAGGAATTAGAAAATTTACACTGTTAGTGTGCTTACTGTTGTTCTGTTTGTTGAAGGATGCCGATTCATGCAACTAATACACTACCTCTTCAAGCATTTATGAAAGCCGATGATTCCAAATCATGCATCAGTCGCATACAAAGATGGAACACAGAAGTCACATTTTGGTTCACAGAACAGTCATACTTTCTCATTTGTCAGCCCCCTCCAACCGAGCAATGAGGGACACAGCAACAATGGCCAAATTTCATGGAGCAACAAGGGGCCAGGCTCCAGTAAGTGGGCAGGCACAAAGTTCGGCTCGCTACATTCTGAAGCTATTCATGTTTCTCTCTGAAGATAAAATCTATGTTAGGTTTTGAAGCCTGAATTTGATCAAGGCCAGAGCACTTAGCTCAATTATGTTTCCCCTGCTCTCTCTCACAGCTGCATGTAGTAGTTCATGTCTCTTAAAGCAGACAAATCAATACTTAGATTGAGTTCTATTCCTATTCGAGGCTTCAATTGGTTACCAACGCGCACAAATAAGATGCTAAATCAGCTTTAGTTTAAAACTGATGAGACCAACTTTTGTTTATGGTAATTTTTTTTATTGGAAGATGAAAACGGCTCGGTCAAATTTGAATTACTTTTGAAATACAACAGGACACAAGTCCATGTTCTCAACGTGGGTAAATTGAGAAATTAAAAGACAATTAAATAAACAGATCGGATCCTTCACATGCACATTCAGCTATGCATGCATAGATATCAGTAATAGATTAGCAAGAGTATCAACAAATCTATATATGCAAAATAAGTGGCAATGCCTAATCCTCCTGGAAATTGGATGGATCAGTCTTTGATGGATCAGTCTTGTCGTGGTGGAACCGCACTACAATGCATGTTATGTTATCCGCACTGCCCCGTGTAAACGCAGCCTCTGTTAATTTTCTAGCAGCTGCCTCGGGTTCTTCTTCTGTTCTGGCAATGGAAACAGCATCCTACACATGATGCATGCGGAGGTAAGCAAAAACAGCTCAATGTCTAGAGGTTATGCACAAGGAAAGAAACCTCAGGCCAGCATTCCCTCTCACCAATCAGATGCTAATTCAACGCATTGTATATAGTAACCAATTATCTCTATGATATCCAATTTACCTCGTATTCTAAGCAGTGGGCAAAAATTTGAGCGGTCCACTCACATAATCCAGTGGAATCTCTCAGCAAAAGTGAGAAAAGACATGTATTCATGCAAATGCACTTCCACGTATCAGACAGAGAGAGCGAGGATTAGCATATTTACCTCATTGGGTACCACATCCCATAGTCCATCACTTGCAAGCACAAGCAATTCGAATTCCTCATCTATTTTCTGCTCCTGAAAGAGGAAAAAAATACAAACAAGTTGCTAAATAATTTTTGCATCGATTGGAAAAATTAGATACAGCTTGATCCAGGCAAGTGGAAGAAATCATAGACTGAATGCTATACCTATAGACACAAAGATAAGCAGAAGTCCATTAACAACCAGTTAGAAACATTACACAGAGCAGCACTGAAGGGAAAGAGGCCTTGAGAATACCTAATTAATTTTTAGGTCTATTATACAACATTAAAAGCTTTCCCTAATCCTTGAACCTCCATATTTTAATCAAGATTAACAATTCAAATCCCGCATCTTTGACATGACAATGAGGAACTACAATCTTAATTAGCCAGCACCTCTTGTTGATATTACAGTTCAATTCAGGCAATTGAGAAAAACCACCAAGATCAAAGGTCGAAACAATGAAAGCCCTACTTTTCTCCTGCTGTAAACACCGCAGCATTATGATATAGTATCCTACATTAAGACACTTTATAAATGTATATAGTCAACTAAGGAAGGTAATTTCCTCTCCTGGATTATTCTTATGGTGAAAGTAACAAATCAACAAAATTTTCAATTATCTTGATACTCTTGCTCAAAATGAAGATTTCCTGAATTATTCCTGGCTTGTATTAAACGCATGAAACCAAAAGAAAGAAAATTGATCACATGATCAAAATCCTTTAATGGAAATCAAAACAATATAAGATCGACATTCTGGAAAGGGGAGGATGTTTTGTGGAATACCTGGATCTCAGGTTCTGCTACAACAAATTGCTTCAACATGCGGTTACCAAAAGCACGGGACATGGCCAATACACCACCTACTCTCCAAGTGCCTGACAAGACAGTCAAAGCAGTATGATTTCAGTTTTCAGGAATTGTCTGGAACTCATCAAAATTTAACGCACAAGTTGTAGAAGAAAATAAATGAAGTCTCCTATCCCCCAAATGGAATGGCTGCAAAGTTCCCGACCAAGGATCATAAAGGTGAGCATTGATCAATAGATGGGGCATTTTAAGTAACAGTGGGTTCCACCAACCATAGACAATCAGCATTTAAAGTCAACCGGAATGTGTAGCAAGAAGTCAAGCAGCCAACCAGGAAACCAGGGTCTGGGTAGGGATCTTCATCTCAGATACCGTTTCAGTTACTAGGCTCAAAGCTAGGGATGGGGCATAGTGTTGCACCATAGAGAAAGGTTTGCATATAGAATACGAGCACCTATTATTTGGACTCATCCCTCATAAATCACAATTCATGCCAAAATTTAAACAAATTAGATGATCCCCGATGTCCCAACTGCAAAAGCTTTCATCCTTTCAAATGTCAAAAGCTTTTCCTTCACCATCCAAAAGGGAGGACTATTCCAAAAATGTCTACACAGAATGGAGAACCCACTGGATCAATTACTGCCACATGCAGATCAAACGAAGTGAAAATGCTTGAAAACATGTATCACAACCAGTAAACAGATCTACCCGCCCACATTACAACACCTCCAGCACTTTCAATTCTCTTCCGCTCATCGCTTCTGTTAGGCTTATGATCCTCAGATAGAGGGATTGCTGTCCAATGGAAAACGAGAGCATAAGAAAAAACATTGAAGTAACATGATAAGAGCGAAAAAAATAAGGAAATTCATGAAAATTCTTGTCTAGAAAATATTTGCCAACAACTGAATGAAAAATGCAATCCATAGCATGACTAATACCTTTTCCACCCTTTGAAATCACAGTCCGTGAGTCTCCAACATTGGCAACATAAAGATGATCACCAACTAGCACTGCTGTTGAAGCAGTAGAACCATCATCACGGTAGGTATCCTTTTCAGAGTCCAAAAAGTCTACATCAGTCTGTTGATATGATTCACCTGCATGGTTATTTTACAGAACCATATCAAGCCTATTTCACACCATCTAAAGCATATTGCATAAAAAGCAAATGACAGACTCGGAACCATTATAATGGTCTCAGCTTTGTCCTATACAGACATTTAAAAGAAACTGACAACAACATGGGACCCTGCTTGAAGAAGCTACTAGGCACCAACAAAACAAAAAATACTTGATAGTACTATAATCTAGCTGATATTATGCAATTCATAGTAATGAGCCAAAGAGAACTTGGATGTACTGAGAGCTAATTTGGTGTCCATGATAAATTGTGGATGCTTCAATAGATTCTCAAACAGATGCTCCTTCAAATACTCAGCAGCACGAGAACCACCATGACCTGTTACAGTACATCATATAACTGTTAAAATTGCAAAGACACCCCTCCCCTAAAAACAGAAGAACTGTTTGTTGATAAACATGTGAGATGCATGACCAGCAGGGACCTGACTGAAGGTCGTGATAAAGAGAGTCATGGGTTGTAGCCTACAGATTTCTTCTCTTGAATGATCCTACCATAGCTGAAACCAGGCAGCAGCTTAGGTTACAAAAATTTGACCAATTGTCTGATTATGCAATTTCCTAGGTGCAAGCTGCTAAAGGCAACAGTCATGTACATAGACACCAGGTGTTTAAACATCCCTTGAACAGATCATAGTTTCCATGAAAATAATGGTCGGACACCTGGAGGTACATCAATAGTTGATAACCAAACTATAATGCAACATGCGTACTCTTCCATTCACTTGGTATTGGCACCTTCTTACTGGGTCAAAAATAGCCATTCAAGCAAAAAAATAAAAATTGACAACTTCAGTAA